GCAATTACTCTTCATCTGCTGTCCTGCAGTATTATGTTTGTACTTAAGTTATAATCCTTTTAAGCCCTCACTTCATCCTGCCTTGCACACATCTACCTCCCTACATAATTGCTAGATCTTTAGGGCACAAACCCCACCTTATTCATCTTGCACCTCCCCATGCCTCCTAGCACAGAGACTTGCTCGCCGTAAGCATCAGTAAATGCTTACTGCGTTGGACTAAACTGACTTTATAAATCCCAGAGAAGGATCAAGGAGGAGGCAGCAGTGCTCAGGAAATAATTAATCACGGGTTGATCAACATTTTTTCCTCTCCAGTCCCTCCCCCAAACCAGCTGCGGCCGGTCCTTCCTGAGCCTGGCCTGCTGAGAAGCCTCCTAAGAAAGAATGTGGCTTCCTCTGTCTTCCTTCTGGAGGGATTTGGATGGGTCACATTTCAGGGGGGTAGAAGTAGGGCCCCAAGACCGAGAGGGACAGATCAAATCACACAGCCGTCTAGTGGCTGTCCTGGAGAACTCTGGCAAGCACAAGGACCTCCGCCTTGCAGAGGAGGAGGGAAAGGCAATTTCTGTGATGCCAGGGCTCCAGAGAGGCTCCCCATGGGCAGGGCTGGAGAGGGCTGGATTCTAAGATGGCAGAGATGTGCAGCAAGGTGGGGGCACAGGGCCGCTCTTGCTATTCACAGATGAGCCCCAAAGGCTGCGGAGATGGTGTGACCCCATAGAAATCACTCTCAAGTCATTGTGGAAGTGTTTGTGTCTCAAGACGTTAGGCCAGGACGTTTCGAAGAGAACTCCAGAGCTGCCACATGGACGGGTTCCATGCCCAAGGCCTGATTTCTAGGAAGCCTCACTCATGAAGTGGGCATTAAGTAATGAGTAAGAGTCTGGGTGCCTGGGTGGCCCAGTCGGTTAGGCGTCCAACTGCGGCTTAGGTCATGATCTCACGGTTCGTGAGTTCAAGCCCCACGTCGGACCCTGTGCTGACAGCTCAGGGCCTGGAGCCTGCTTCTGATTCTGTGTCTCCCTCCCCTCAGCAGCTCCCCTGCTCACACTCTGTCTCTCTCTCAAAATAAATAAAGATTTAAAAAAAATTTTTAAGTAATGAGTAAGAGTCCATCACTCCTCTCCAGACTGTAATCCTGATTCGGTGTGGCAAACCCGAGGCCGTCCATGCATTATCCTCTTGAAGAATTCCCCAAAGTCAATGGACTGCAGTCATGCTAAGCCTGGGAGACTTCTGGACCCCTCTCTTCCTGACAAAGTCATGGGCAAGCAGCGGCATGGGCTTAAAATAAAATTTATGTATACCAACTTCAACATAGTTAGAAGCTAAGTCAAACTCAGCTTAAAGCCTACTGCTTTGTCTGATCTATACCAAAACCTTCCAGCTAAGAAAATCAGCCTGTGAGCAGACATTAATTTTAGTGAAAAGACAGGTCATGGCCCTAATAGTGGATCACACCTGCACAAATTCAAAAGGCTCCAGGCCTCCAGGTTCCCCGGAAAATAAAGGCTATTTCCCTCCTGGGAAGTTGGGGAGTTAACCTAGAGCAGTATAGACAAAAAAAAAAAATCTACTTTTCTGGCTGTGAGGACCCTCTTATGGCTCCTAAGGGACCAGAAGAGTCATTTCCTTCCAGCTAAGGCATCATTTCATCCATTGTCTTGGTCACAAGCTGTGTTTCTACCAGGGCACAAGTGCTGCTGGCTGCAAGTTCTTAGAGAGAGCTACTGAGAGTGGTATCCCTGCTGGATACCTCCCTGGGGAACTTTCCAGGCAATGCTCTCTCTCTCTCTCACACACACACACACACACACACACATACAGCTCAGGCCTGCAGGCCCCACCCAAGCTTTCCAGAGCAAAGACAGGATCCAGGGGTGGAAAGCCCTGTTGGGCTGGGAGAGACCCATTAGCAGTCTCACAGTGCAGCCTGCTGGGCATGAATGAAGGTGCAGCAGGAGGCAGGGGTGAGGGGTGCAGGGAAAGGTATCTTGCCTCCCCTCTGTCCACTTCTAACACCTGGGAAAGGGGCCTCAAACCCCAAATTTTCAGTTTAGGCTTGAAGGCCTTTGAAAGGGAAAAGATAGTAGTCCTGGGGCTTTCAAATGCACACAGATCTCCCACCCCCACGGAGTTGTCAACTGCTCGATGCTTTAGAACATTCCAAATAGTTGGCATGAAGGAGGAGCACTGCGGATCCACAGGAGGAACAGAAGATCAGTACTGAAAAGAAAGGAGCTGAGTGTCCAAGGAAACAGGCGGGAAATGCCTCCCATAAGCCTCTGTATGAATTGTCATTTCCAACTTATAGAGGACTTCCTGCTTCCGCCAGGCTTTCAACACAAGCACATGGAGACAATTTCTACATGAGGCCCAAAGAGGGTGTGGTCCACGTTAGTAAGCAGCAATGGAACAACACTGACACAGTGTGGGGGCCAGCCAGGGGCTGGACTCTGCACAGGCCAGGTGGGTCCTGACAGGCGGTGGCAGGAAAGATGGAGAAGTTGCTGAAGAGAGATGGCCCTGAAGAAGCACCCACAGGACCTGGTGTCAGAGCAGGGAGTGGCAGGTGAGAAAGAGGGCCGCCAATAAAGAGGAAAAAGGAGGTGGCTTTGAATCGGGCAAGGTGAGCTGGGCCATTTGCAAGGCAATGTAACGGGAGTCCAGGGTGGTGCCTGCTGGGTGTGGATAGCTGTTTCCCACACCTTGCACCCTCTTTTCTCTCCATGACCCCTCTCACACCCTGGTCTCGCTTACCTGTCTCTGCTTCCCCGCCTATTACTCTGTTTGCCCCTAATGCCCCTGGCCCTTCCCTCTCTCCCACTACTGTCAATTTTTCCTTCCAGCAGCTCCTTGAAATTGGAGAGTTTCTTATACCACTGGGTGGACAGCAGCCCCCCCCCACAACCCCCATACACCACCCAGTGACCCCCTTCCCTTCCCCCACAGCCAGCCTCAGAGGGATGCCTGAGGCTCCAGCCTTCTTTCCTCCCAGCCAAACCAGCCAAGCCGCTGGCCTCACCCAGGAGCTGTGGGAGCTCCCTGAGCCATCTGATGTATGAGGAGCAGTGGACAGCCTCCAGCTCCACAGCACACCATGCCCCGTCTAGACAGATCTGAGGTCTGTGTCCTCAGGAACCGCCAGGCCCCAGAGCAAGGCTTTGCTCCAAAGGTAATTCTTCCCCTGCAGGTGAGGCCGCTTTGGTGGCCAAAACTGAGTGCACATTGGAGCCTTTTTCCACTTAGCTGGCGGCCAGTCACCTGAAGTCTCTGGGGGAAAAGACAAGGCTCTCTGGTAGGGAAAATTCTTATTTTTTCATCATATTTTGTAAAAACGAGTATGTAGCTGGAGAAAACAGGCGACAGAGTGGGTGGCCACTTGAGATGCAAGGAGGAAGATCAAAGCCCACCAAGCATGGAGGAAACAGCCTTGGTGTGGCCCAGAGAACAATCTAGGTGGCCAGTGCTTCAGACAAGGCAGCCAGGGAATGGGAGGTGTGGGGTGAAGAAGCCTCAGTCACAAGCACCCCATGGCCCTGCTCTGCAACCCCAGCGCTTCAGTTAACAGTCTTCAGCTGGAACAAACACCTGCTGTCAAGAGACATCCAAGCAAGCTCCCAGTTCCCTGGGCGGGCCGTCACATCTCTGTGTGGGAGGTGAACCTACCCAAGCTGCGGCCCCCAGGCTGCTTTCTTCTTCCAAGAAGAAGCTGGAATCCCTCCCTCTGGACACAATCCTTCTGGCTGCTGCCCCTCTCACAATCCCAGCCCAGGGCAATTAGCCAGGAACACTCTCTGTGACTCTCTGTGTTTACTGGCTGATTAATTAGCTCATTAGAAGAGCCACAAGTGACCGTGTGGCAGTGAGTCCATTATGGCAGTCATGAGGCCAAAAGTTCCCATCTTTTCCAAATGGGCCTGTGCTACCAAATCTCCTCACAGATCCCTCAGTTCAGCCTCCCAATTTATTATTCCTTTTTTTTTTTTTTTTTTTTTTTTTTTTTTTTTTTTTTTT